GGGGGCGGGGAAACCGAAGCTGAAGTCTGAATTTAAAAATTTCGAAGTGAGTTTTTTCGGTTAAGGGAAGGGTTTTTTGAGAAAATTATAATATTTTCTCGAGTCTGGGAAAAGTTATTTGAAATACAATAAATTTTTGTCTCTTTTAATGACATGGTGATGAAATGTCATACAAGAAACTTTGGCTAAATGTTGGGTACTCGTGCTTATAATATTGGGCTTTGTACTAATTCGAATTTTCAGAATGAGCATTGAGTTAATCTGATGTATGTGATATGGTCTCCCTTAATCAACTGTTTTATAAGTGGATTTTGACGGGCAAGACTTGTTATTAATGATGCATTGAGATCTAGTGATGAAGACTATTGCAATGTATTCATTATTAGATCGATCTTTACAAAATATTGTGGAAACAAAATCTGAATTTTTAAAATTATTGGTATTAACGTAGAAGATCTCGACTTCATATTGGAAAGAATCTAAAAGAAACATGGAATATGGAGAGACTATTACAATTTTACGTGAAACCGTTAGTATACTCGTCATCATAATTATGTTCAGTGACGGATAAAAAGACAACTATTTGTGCTCATTAAGTCCACCTAAATATGATCATGAAAACGTGAAAGTAGAGGACATCAAACAGACAAAGAAGATGCAATCGAAAAATCGCGGAAGCTCGTTCTACGATGTTACAATGCACTTGCTTCTCAACAAGAGCTATCCGGGGTACAAGTTGCTTCCTATCTCATGAATTGGGATGATCATTACACTACACACAAGTTCCAAGGCCTCTATCTTATTCAAACTGAAAGGTATTTACAAACACAGTTGAATGAAAAATGTTCCAAAGAGAAATTACAGCTTTCAATACATGGTAAGCATGCTTTTCTTTTTATTTAATTTAACTTTAAAAGCTATTATTAAAAAATGCAGTTATAAAACAGAATAGGAAGACAAGGAGAAAAGTAGAAAAAATTACGTTAAAAATTCTTCTGTTGGCTGTTTTGTTCGTTAAAAACCTCTTTGATATCTTTAAACTTTACGACACAGCACAATTAAAAAGACTCAATAAAATTCATTTAGTGTAATGACTATACTATCTAAATGATAGAGTAAAAAAAACTTCTAGACTGTATTGCTACTGTACATATGAATGCGAGAGACAGTCCAGATCACTGAGATTAAGATATCTTAATTTAATAGAACCTGATATTTTGATTATTTCTATATAGATGTGGCTGATGATGATATACATGATGATGACACGATTGACAATAAAAACAACGAAGAAGAACATTTTCAAATACAATCAACCGAAAATGACAAAAAATACATACTAGTGAACACAAGAGTTGACTATCAATATCGCTCCGATGTTCTCAATAATATGTGTTTATACGACTTTATCAGCATATTATATAAAAAAAATGAATGCAGCAGATCTGAAATATTTATCGAAGTCTGCAGTATCAGTGGAAGAAGCCAGTAACCAAAAAGGTCGACCAGCAAATGTACGTTACTCTTTTCAAAAGCAACATCCACAAGCAGCAACACATCTTTTAATGAAATACAGTGACAGTCATGTACCTGTACTTTATCGTCCACAAATTCCTCGACGTGATCGTGAAGATACTCGAGAACGATATAGTCGAGCTCTTCTCTCACTTTTCGTACCTTGGCGCACTATGACCGATCTTTGTGACATTAATCAAACGTGGGAAGAAGCTTTTAAATTTCGACAAAGTCGTATTTCTACTCATTCATGGAAGATTATAGAAAATATTCAACTTTTACATGAATGTAAAAAAGATCGAGATGAACATTTACTTAAAGTTATTGCTGAAGCTCAGACTGATAATGATCCAATTGATCCTGTTCTCTTGCCTACAAATCAACATGCTGATGAGGAATATGATATGGATGATACCGAGGATTTCATGGAATTACTTGGCAATTTAGATGAATACACAGCGGCAGCGATTAATGTTACCAAAAAGTCTACAGAATATCAGTATATTGAAGAAATTATTAAAGCGGTCGAAAATGTTGGCCGATTTAGTCATATAAATAGTAAGTATTCCTTTTTGACGATTAGTAGGATTAAAAAAATATGTAAAATTTTGTCGTAGCTTATCCTTATTCATCTTCAAATCAATCTCTTGATTATGTTAATCAACAACTTGTACCATTTATTTCTGCAACACCAAATCTTATTCGATTAAACACAAAATGGCAAGAACAACTGAAAACTGAAAAAGAACGAGTCAGACAGAGTTTAATCACAGGCAACTACGTCAATACAGACGATACATTAGATTTACATGCTGCAAAGAATGCCGTTGTGGCAGTAGTGAATTTGAATAATTATAATAATAACAATGTTGAAAATTATGCCTCGATTCTTCCAGTGGTTTCTGTCACCACTAATTTTCCAACTCAAAAAAGTATTGCTGATGAATATACATTGAATAGAGAACAACGAGCTGCATTCATGATAATAACAAGTCATCTTGCTGGTGATAATCGATGTCGTACAGGTAATTTTATAACATAATTTATCAGAAACCGACCTATATACGTTATCTTTAGGTGACAATAACGGACAACTTATAATGTGTATACCTGGCTGTGGTGGCACAGGCAAATCACAACTTATTCGTGCTCTCAGCAAATACTTTCTTGTTATGAAGAGAATGCAAATGATGCGAAAACTTGCACCCACTGGTATTGCTGCTGCCGAAATAGGTGGTATGACTATTCATTCATTTTTGGGTGAACAACGCAATTCTGGCAAACCACGAACCATCAAACCAGGTGATTCAAAACTTGAAAGAGAATGGAGGCTCGTCGAATATTTATTAATCGATGAAATGAGTATGGTTGGCTTAACTTTACTAGCAAAACTCAATCGAATTATTTGTGCTGCAAAACATGCTGATCCTCAAGTTCCATTCGGTGGTGTGAACGTTATATTCTTTGGGGACTATTTACAATATAGACCTGTATATGATGCACCACTACACACCGATTTTTCAATGCCATCGAAAAAAGCTGTTAGCGCAATCCCTTGCGGGATTAAAAATGTGAAACACGATGTACCTATTGTTACTAATTAAATGGAAATCCTTTTGCTCCATTTCCTAATGACACATTTGTAGCTGACCATATATCTGATGCTTCACAACTATAGTTTCTCTGTCACGGTCTGTGATGGGTACCCGGATTCTCTGTCAAGGTCTGTGATGGGTACCCGGATTTTCTGTCACGGTCTGTGATGGGTA